ATAATATCTTGTATTGGACCAACTTACTCTCTCTCTCTCTCTCTCTCTCTCTAACAGAAGTTGGTCCAATACAAGATATTACCTCACCCACCTTGTCTCTCTCTAGTTGTCTATCATTTCCCCACATAGGCTAGCCCTGACCTGTTGTGTGACTTGGGCAGTCCTGCCATTGTTTGTAGCTCTTTGTTAAATAAAGGGGTTTGACTAGTCCTTCCTCTAAGCCAGGGGTCGGCAGCCTTTCAGAAGTGGTGTGCCGAGTCTTCATTTATTCACTCTAATTTAAGGTTTCGCGTGCCAGTAATACATTTTAACTTTTTTAGAACGTCTCTATAAGTCTTTAATATATAACTAAACTATTGTTGCATGTAAAGTAAATAAGGTTTTTAAAATCTTTTAAGAAGCTTATTTAAAAGGCAGAGCCCTTCCGGACCGGTGGCCAAGACCCGGGCAGTGTGAGTGCCACTGAAAATCAGCTCGCATGCCGCCTTCGGCACACGTCCCCTAGGTTGCCTACTCCTGCTCTAAGCCTTAAAGAGTTCTTGGCACACCCACTGACTTTTAACCAGGGCTGTGATTTTTTTCCTTAGATCAGCCACTCACCTGATGGAAGTAATTAGCAGTTTTCGACATAATATATTTATGAACATTTGCTCTAACATGACCATGTTTTATCAGATAATCTGCTAATATCGATGGGAGGGGGAGAGTTAGGAAAGGAAACCAAGGTTTGGAAAGCGCCCTGGAATGGTTAGGACCATAGGGGGTGTGTGATGTGACTGGGGTCTCCATGTAGCTCTGTCGACGTTCAGCATACGGTCAAGCTGGCCAAGCACAAGGAATTGGCCGCGTACGATGAGAACCGGTTCTATACCGGAGCAGCTTCCACAGCCCGGCACCTGTATCTCCGAGGCGGTGCCAGCGTCGGCTCCATGACCAAGATCTACGGGGGCCGCCAGCGCAACGGCGTCATGCCCAGGCCCAGCCACTTCAGCCGCAGTTCCAAGAGCGTGGCCAGAAGGGTGCTGCAGGGGCTAAAAATGGTGGGGAAGGATCAGGATGGAGGTCGCAAACTCACCCCGGGGGACAGAGATCTGGACAGAATTGTTGGCCAGGTGGCAGCTGCAAACAAGAAACATTGAAATGAATGTCAGATAATTAAAAACCAGTTCCTGTTTTTTAAATCAGGCGTTTTGTTCTTTTAAAATGACTGAGCTCCCTTAAAAGGCAGCATACACAAGCTGACAAAATGCTGAGGTGGGTTTCTCTGTCCTGTGACTTTCTTTTTCAGGTTTGTTTTCAGATAGCGTCCTTTAGATGTCCAGCTTCTGGAAGCGAATAAACAGCTGAACATACAGCCGCCCTGTGTCTCATTCAGTATTAATTGCAGGGTTCTTATAAACCAATTTTCTCATCCGACTATTCCAGGCAGATATTGGCATGTCTAGACTAGAGAAGAATTCCTTTAAAATAGCATTGTCTTTTTTTTTTCTTCTTTTCTACAATGGGCATTGTGTGACCTGTTTAAATAAAATTTAGCCTTTTTGAAACCCCATAAAACTGACAGATCCACTTAACTTTTGGCACGTTCCTGCCTCTCCCCTTCACCGCACACTAATCCAGATGTATCCTGCATCTTTTTGCCACAAAAAGTCTTGTCAAGATATACCTATGGATTACTCTTAGCCGTAGCAAGTTCCTGTTAGAATACAAGTGATCTGAAGGGCAAGATATTAGTTTGTTTTTATTTGTATTCCTAGCCACATTAAAGACAGTGTAAAAATGGTTTTAGAAACTTAAATCGTTAAGGTAGATCGTGCCAAACCAACCTGATCTCCTTCTTTGAGAAGGTAACAGACTTTTTAGACAAAGGAAACGCAGTGGATCTAATTTACCTCAATTTCAATAAGGCATTTGATATGGTTCCACATGGGGAATTATTATTAGTTAAATTGGAAATTTGTCAATGTCATAGTATTTTTTTCTATGTCCTTATTAAGTGAGATTATAAACATCAGAGGATCAACAGAGGACAGGTGCAAAGGCCTCAAATAATATCAGATGGTTACGTTTTTTTGTTTGTACTGTGTGCATTTAGTAAAGCTGGTCAAATGATTGTGGGGGAAGGGTTATATGAAAGATCAGAGTGGTGAAGCCTGGGATCGGAATATCTGTCTAAACCAGTGGTTCTCGGGCCACGGGCTGCTTGTGACCCAATCAACACCCAGCTGCAGCCCATGTGACATCCTCAGGGCCATACAGGTAGTATATCTATTGTGTGGATGCAGCCCACATAGAGAGCCGCGTGTGCGGCCCACAATGGTGAATAGGTTGGGAGCTACTGGTCTAGATAATTACATGGGCCCCTGATAACTGACTGGGATCTGATTTGGATATGGATAGAGACCTCTTTAATGTTTTTAATGAAGTAAATACTAATGGGAATTGTGTGATAACGGGAGACTTTAACTTCCCAGATATAGACTGGAGGACAAGTGCTAGTAATAAAATAGGGCTCAGATTTTCCTGGTTGCGATAGCTGATGGATTCCTTCACCAAGTAGTTGCTGAACCAACAAGAGGAGATGCCATTTTAGATTTGGTTTTGGTGAGCAGTGAGGACCTCATAGAAGAAATGGTTGTAGGGGACAACCTTGGTTCGAGCGATCATGAGCTAATTCAGTGAAACTAAATGGAAGGATAAACAAAAATAGATCTGTGACTAGGGTTTTTGATTTCAAAAGGGCTAACCTTAAAAAATTAAGAAAATTAGTTAGGGACGTGGATTGGACTGAAGAACTTGTGGATCTAAATGCGGAGGAGGCCTGGAATTACTTCAAGTCAAAGTTGCAGAAACTATCAGAAGCCTGCACCCCAAGAAAGGGGAAAAAATTCATAGGCAGGAGTTGTAGACCAAGCTGGATGAGCAAGCATCTCAGAGAGGTGATTAAGAAAAAGCAGAAAGCCTACAAAGAGTGGAAGATGGGAGGGATCAGCAAGGAAAGCTACCTTATTGAGGTCATAACATGTAGGGATAAAGTGGGAAAGGCCAAAACCATGTAGGGTTGGAGCTTGCAAAGGGAATTAAAACCAATAGTAAAATGTTCTATAAACATATAAATAAGTAGAAAATAAAGAAAGAAGTGGGACCGCTAAACAGTGAGGGTGGAGTGGAGGTTAAGGATAATCTAGACATGGCCCAATATCTAAACAAATACTTTGCCTCAGTCTTTAATGAGGCTAATGAGGAGCTTAGGGATAATGGTAGGATGACAAATAGGAATGAGGATATGGAGGTAGATATTACCACATCCGAGGTAGAAGCCAAACTCGAACAGCTTAATGGGACTAAATCAGGAGGCCCAGATAATCTTCATCCAAGAATATTAAAGGAACTGGCACATGAAATTGCAAGCCCATTAGCAAGAATTTTTAATGAATCTGTAAACTCAGGGGTTGTACCATATGGCTGGAGAATTGCTAACATAGTTCCTATTTTTAAGAGAGGAAAAAAGTGATCTGGATAACTACAGGCCTGTTAGTGTGACATCTGTAGTATGCAAGGAAAAAAAATTTGGGGAAAAAAAATTTGAAGGAGAAAGTAGTTAGGGACATTGAGGTCAATGGTAATTGGGACAAAATACAACATGGTTTTACAAAAGGTAGATCGTGCCAAAACAACCTGATCTCCTTCTTTGAGAAGGTAACAGACTTTTTAGACAAAGGAAACACAGTGGATCTAATTTACCTCAATTTCAATAAGGCATTTGATATGGTTCCACATGGGGAATTATTAGTTAAATTGGAAAAGATGGGGATCAATATGGAAATTGAAAGGTGGATAAGGAACTGATTAAAGAAGGGCTACTAGGATGATCCGAGGAATAGAAAACCTGTCTTATGAAAGGAGACTCAGAGCTTGGCTTGGTTAGCCTAACCAAAAGAAGGCTGACGGGAGATATGATTGCTCTCTATAAATATATCAGAGGGATAAATACCAGGGAGGGAGAGGAATTATTTAAGCTCAGTGGACACAAGAACAAATGGATATAAACTGGCCATTAGGAAGTTTAGACTTGAAATTAGACGAAGGTTTCTAACCATCAGGAATGAAGTTCTGGAACAGCCTTCCAAGGGGAGCAGTGGGGGCAAAAGACATATCTGGCTTCAAGACTAAGCTTGATAAGTTTATGGAGGGGATGGTAAGATGGGATAGCCTAATTTTGGCAATTAATTGATCTATGACTATTAGCGGTAAACATGCCCAATGGCCTGTGATGAGATGTTAGATGAGGTGGGATCTGAGTTACTACAGAGAATTCTTTCCTGGGCGTCTGGCTGGTGAGTCTTGCCCACGTGCTCAGGGTTTTGCTGATCGCTATATTTGGGGTCAGGAAGGAATTTTCCTCCAGGGCAGATTGGCAGAGGCCCTGGGGTTTTTTTCGCCGTCCTCTGCAGCGTGGGGCATGGGTCACTTGCTGGAGGATTCTCTGCACTTTGAAGTCTTTCAACCATGATTTGAGGACTTCCAATAGCTCAGACATAGGTTAGGGGTTTATTACACGAGTGGGTGGGTGAGATTCTGTGGCCTGCATTGTGCAGGAGGTCAGACTAGACAATCATAACGGTCCCTTCTGACCTTAAAGTCTATGACCTGGGCTCTGAGACTTGCTGCTGGGTTTGGGGTTTTGTTTGTGCAGTGTAGACATACCCTTAGTCACAAGATCATCCTTCTTCCCCAAATGTAAGGGGCTGGGAGGAGCTGTTTCGGTTGAGGACCCACCTCTATTTGTATATGGCTCAGACAAAGTTGTATCTTGTATCAAAGTTGTATTAGAGTAACTTTACTGACTGATTAGAGCTACGTCAAGGATTTGCACCAAACCTTGAATGTGCTCAGATTGCGTCTCAGTTTGATACTTTCCTTGAAGAGGGGGTTGTCTGTGGAGCTATCAGACTACTTCAGTGACCACCCCACCATCCTGGCACCTCTCCTCATCCATCTTTCAACTCACCCCCTGCCCCCAACACCTCGTAAGAGGATTTATGGGGGAGGGTGTGGGTGTTGGTCAAAGTCCAATCCTCAGGTGAACTTGGACGGCTGAGTCCACAGATCTGGAAGTCAGAGAAGCGACTTCCTGCATAAATCCGTTCTAGTACTTTAAAGGTTTGCCATGGAAAACCAAACTGGCTGACCCCATTGAGTGCTGCAGGGTGCTCTGTGCCGAGGGGCGATATCCTGCACTGACCCTTATGGCCAAGCTATTCAAAAGAGATGAAGGATTCTGGGGGCCCAGTTGGATTCACCTTAAAGGGGCCTGATTGCCAGAAAGTGCTGAGCAGCCAACCTCAGAAAATCGGAGCCCGTGGAGCTGTCTCAAGTCTGGCACCCAGAATAGGGTTGCCACCTGTCCGGTTTTTACCTGCACAGTCCAGTTTTTGGCTTCTGTGTCCAGGTGCCATTTAAGGTTACCAGGTTTTCAGGAACGTGGCAACCCTAAATGGCACCCAAACCAAAAGCCTGGTTATCGGGGGCAGGGTGAGGCACCAGGTCACTAACCTGTGCCAGCCCCTGTTCAGCCAGGGCAGCTTCCTACCGGCAGCCAACATCTTGAGACAATCCAGTGAGTGACTGGGGCGGGGGAAGAGGCAGAGAATGGGACTGGCCCTTGGTGGGTCCGGTTACTAGGAATTGGAAAGCTGGCAACCCTAACCCAGAATCCTTAGTTCTTTTGGAAAATCTTGGCCATTGTCTTCTGGGTTGGCACTGCAGTGTTGGTTTGGGTTGCTCTGTCCCGGCTATGTGTCGCTGTTCATTTCTTCAGTCTTTTCTGTCGGGGAAACATTCATCTAGTTGCATTAAACAATTAAATTGTTGTACCGTCAGACATTTATATACGGAGAGACACAAGCTGTCAATAATCTGCGATGTCTTTTAACACCAGCTCCCTGTGTGTTTTGTTACAGCGGCTGACGGCGCAATTAATTTTATTGTTTGAAAATAATTTTCTGCAGTGTTTGATTTGCACGGCTTTAACCTTACACTTTTTAATGATTTCTCTATTAATTTCACTGTTGCTAAGCTGAAGATGCCTTTCAAGTGGAGAAAGAAAGATGATCTAATACTGTGGGTGAAACATTAGGAACAGCAAATTAAATCCCGTTTAATGGTGTTAGAATCCCAGTTGCTAAGGCAAATGGAGCTTGTGAAGCAGCACAATGAACGAAGAATTGCAGGAGTTTCTCCGAAGAAATTTGTATAGTTTCAAAGTAGAACTGATGGCTAAAATGTTATAATATAGTTTTTATATAAACTGGTGGCCATAGGGCCAGACTGAATCTACAGCAAGGATTGTAGTCGGGCAGAATGTAACAACCCAAGGGAGAATTTGGTCAAGCCACAGGGATTAGTACAGACTCCTGCAAAAAGTGTCAAAGGATCATGAATGACCAGAAGCGGTCAGGATGACCTTTGACCCCTCCATAGGGTTGCCAACTGTCTAATCCGGGGTGGCCAACCTGAGCCTGAGAAGGAGCCAGAATTTGCCAGTGTACATTGCCAAAGGGCCACAGTAATACGCCAGGAGCCCCCCATCCGCTCCCCCCTGCTCCCAGCGCCTCCTGCCCACCGGCAGCCCCACCAATCAGCGCCTCCCCCTCCCTCCCGCACCTCCCGATCAGCTGTTTCGTGAGACAAATACAACACACACACACAATATACATATGTATATGGATGTCTATGCGCGTATGTGGTTCAATATATCCCCAACATT